ATTAAAAAATAATAATAATTTTTTTATTTAAAAATACCGGGTACCCGGCGGGTAACGGTTCCGAAAAATTGAGAACCGGAACCGGAACCATTCTCAATCGGTTCCGTATTTTAGGAACCGGAACCACTCATATTGGTTCCGGTTCCGGAACCGGCGGTTCCAAGGCGGTTCCGGTTCCATAGCCGGGTACCCGGTTCCGCTGCTCACCCCTACTAGAAATTAGACAAGCCATTCAGCGCTCCAAATCCAGACATAAGCCGATTATCGAAGACATCATCAGCGAGCTGATCAAGATGGTGTCCAGGTATGTTTTAGTCCCTAAAAGGCTAATGCTGAAGAAAGGAGGAAGAAAGAAAATACCTTCAAGTCCTATTGATGGACCATCACTGAGGAATGAAACAAAGTTCTCCTTTGATGAAGTCTTGAAGGATTATGTGAGTCCAGACATCTCTATGTTGTATCTTACATTGCCAACAAAGGGTCCTTATGTGCCCAACATTGTTCATTTCAAACCTGAGTCAGGACTTATATTCCTTGACTATGATGGTGAAGTAAGATTTAAGAGAATGTATGAGTTATATTTATGCCGTATGGAACACCTCATATATCTCAGGTTCTGGCTAGATGATGACTTAAGAGGAAGAGTTGTGGATCGAAAGATAAGAAGGGAGTTTCTATGTCGAAAGAAGCTTGGAGAAAATGTACCAGGTTACATCAAGCTGAGCGACTTAGACTAGTTTATTTCCTTTGTAATATTGTCCAGGTACTATAAACTATATCCTATATCTTCTTTCAGTGATTAGTCTTATAATTTGTAAGTCTAGACATGTACTGGAACACTTGTAATATTTCCCTTGAATTTAATATAAGTATTTTATGTGTATCACTGAAAAATATCCTTGAAAAGAGTAATAGGGACACAAGTCTGTGAGTTCCAGTGTTACTCTTACATTCACTGACAATCTATAAGTCAGTGAATATGCTTTCAGTTTCAGTTTCCCTTCTTGTAATTTTTCTTAGACTTAAACTTAAGAAAATTTTCTAAGTAAAAACTGACTCACTGAAAAAGATCCCAAAACAATTAAAAGGGACATGTACTTTATATGTAATTTTTCCTTACTGTTATTTGATAAGACAACTTTCTTTATGTTGTCTTGTTATCATCAAATAAGGGGAGATTGTTGATCTTCTCTCTCAGTGATTTGATGATAATCCTTTTTACCTTATACGAAGTATTTTATGTTTCTGCCTTTCAGTTACAGTGATCATCACTGAGTCTGTTCAGTGATCGTTGAGAACATGTAATGTAAATCCATCAGCGGCAGCGATACTTCAAGAAGACAAAACTCACACCAATGAACCTTCAGCGAAAGTCGAAGACTGAAACTGAAGATTAGAGACTGGCGAGTACGTGATCTGAAGCGGAATTCAGTGATTACAACCTGGTCTACACATGTGTGAAGACTGCCCAAGCCTCAGCGAATGCTGAAGAGACCTTCAGGTTATTCTAGCATTCAGCGATCAAAAGAAGTTGGTTGCACACGATTGTTTTTGTCTTGTCTTTATACACACAAATGACAAACCCATACCATTTCTAAAGTATAGTACAGTACGTAGCCTATTAGTTGATTCTACTACCCACCAACTTTATGAAAGGATGTCTGCTCATGAATAGGCTTTTGTACTATTCATTGTAGCAAAGGACAAATCTTTCTCTAAAGGCTTGACACGTGTTCAAACCCTACTACGTTGCATTAAATGCATTTAATGCAATGTATATAAATAGATGTATTCTATCTCCATGCAGGGATACTGATACTTACTCTTGAACCCTAACTTACGTTCATAAGTAAAAGAACACACATCTAGAACACAATACGCTTATCTTCAAAAACAAGTTAGAATATCTTTTTAGTATTCTAAATAGTTCTTACGCAGAAAGAACTTATTTCCTTTTAAGTCTCTTACATCAAATCATTTCTCTTTACTAAGAACTTGTGTGTAACTTAGATTGTTTAGATATGTTTTATTTATCTTATCTTTCCACAAACAATCTTGTAAAATCTGTATCGGTTCTTCTTTATCTATATATATTTTAAATTTGAAAAGTTTACTGTGTTTGTATTCATCCCCCATTTCTACAAACTATTATACATACCTTGTAGACCCTAACGGGACCAACAACCTAGTTAGGAAATAAGAAATTATGAACTACCGCTTTAGTTGAAATAAATAACACACACACACACACACACACACATATATATATATATATATATATATAACGGGTACGGGGCGACGCGGAGAATACCATACTCGTCCTCGTCCCCATCCCCGGTTTGAGACAAATGGGGATCCCCGTCCCTGTCCCCATCCCCGATTTAGCGGGGAATCCCCCTCCCTGACCGGGATGGGTGGACTGGGTTCCTCAACGGATCGGGGCCCATTCCCATGTTTACAGGTAGAGATTTCACTACTATACAATTTATACCCTTTATAGATATCGATTATTCTATTTAAATGAAAAGTTTGGTTTAAAAAAAGACATAATTGGAACTTCTTATAGGATGTAGTATAAATATTTTTATTTAAGTAATTTATAAATTGATAATATTTGTTTTCAAAATGTTTATGAGATAATTGTATTTTTATTTTACAATTAATTTTATGTCACTAAATCTTTAAAGAAATAATTCATCGTTACCCGACGTACATCTTTATTTAGATATACGTTTTTACTTAAACATAAATCTCGTGTTTTTTCAGGCAAAATTCAATGAAATAAGATGAAATTTGTCTCAATTCTTAGTTGATATAACAATTAATTTTTTTTTTAATTAACGTAACAAACTTTCAGATATTCTTATTTTGATACTCATTTACCAAATAATTAAGTAAAATTTTACATGATACTGAACTAATATTAAATAGATAAATGATCGTGTGAGAGGGAAAACTAATGTGAGAAACATAAAAAATGATCTGACCCTTGATTACTTTTAATATCAAACCACTTATGAATCGTGCTTAATACAGAGATTGATCCGGTGCATCTCACCTTCATTTTTTTTCTCACACATGTATGCAACCCCATTAGATAAAACTCAAAAAAATAAGTTGAGTCAAATTTCGTTGCATTTTAATTTACTAGAAGGGTACTCGTAAAATCCAGCATAATATATTTTGATTTTAATGTTTACTTTTATTTTGTCTCTGTTAATATTATAACACGGTTTATGTGGTTTTGATAAAGCGATAATGTTTTTTGTTTGAATAAAATATAATTCAAATATCTCATAAAAATTTGAAAAATATATCGTTATTAGTATCAAATTAACTATTTAAAAATTCACATTTTTTATGTAATTTTGTTTAATTCAAAATTTTATTATAATTTAATTTAGATTTAATAACAAAATAATTTATTTTTGGTTTAATAATATATTTTTTTTATAAAGATAATAATAAACTGGTATATTAGAACTCAATGATCATCTTAATTATATTTTAAATTTTTTATATTTAAAATTAAATATTTATATTTGATTATGTTTAACTACAATTAGTTACGAATGAAGTTTTAATTAGAGATAACTTAATTATAATCTTAAATTTTAAGTAATATGCATCATTAAACAGTATTTAATATATAAAAAATTATTTTTAATATTTTTTTGTCAAATACTTTATAACACTGTGTATATTTTGTTATTTTTATCAAATATCGTTAAAAAATAAAATAGAAAAACAACCTTAAATATAAAATGCTAACTCGGCCAAAAAAACAAAGAAAGAGCACTACGCTATTTCTCTCCCTCTCTGCACCGTAGCCTATAATTTATCCCTCCGCCCGCCGTCCGGTGAGTTTTATCGGCGGCGAGTAGAGTCAATGCCGGCGCAAAAGCGTTCGCACGAAGCTCGTTATGAGGACGATGACGATGATGTTGACCTGCAACGTAATAATCCGAACATTCCCGAGGAATCCGAAGAAGACGACGACGCCGAAGACGTAGAACAAGATGAACAAGGTTTGTTTCTGAAGATATTGAATTTGTTTACTTATTTCTTTGAATGATATTTAATTCTTTAGGAGATTACGTGATTTTTTATTCCGCATTTGTATCGATCTTTTCGTTTTCTGTTTGTTCGATCAGCAGAATCGGATGATGATGGAAGCGCTTCCTCTAGTTGCAGCGACAAGGACGAGTGAGTTCTTTCTGTCCACACCTCATGTATTCATATCTGTGTGTGAGTGTGTGTTACATCGTGAGTTATGATTACTGATTCGATCAGCGTGTTTTTGACTTCTATATGATCATTGTTGATTTGAGATCTGCATGCTGTCTACTTTCTGTTGTTTGAAGTCTCTACTGCACGGTTGTCCTTTGGCATTATGGCACTGCCTAGTTCCACTGAAGTGGCCGTTTGGCCTTAATGAAACTGCGGGTTTTAATCAGATTAGAGGTTAAATGTTAGAATCACGTGGATAGTAAAATGAAACCCAGTGGTTACAATGATGCCCCTGTTAGACTCTACTTTTGGGACACATGTGAATTGTCTTGTCAAAATGCACCTTTCTGATTCGACTTCATGCTAGTTGTAAGTGTTTTTAGTTTAAGCATTGTAGGAAGTGATCGGTTTGTATTTGTTAGTTGGAAACTGAGAATGGTATACTTCTGCCATTTGGTTGGATTACTAAACTAGTGTCAATATCAAGTTGGAAGCAAAACCTGTATCAACTTTGAATTGGAAGCAATAGACTCCGTCCTATAAAATAAAATATAACTCTTTTATGTAATGGTGTATTTTTCTTGCTGATGTGACTTATGTTTACAAAGAGCATTTATTTGAAATGGGGAGATAGAGATCCTGACCATTCTTTGACAATGATTGATGGGTTACTTTTTCTGCTGGAATGTGTGTTCTTTCTATAGAGTTCATCATATTTAGCATTGTTTTATAAGTTCCTTTTTACAGTTAGAGTAATCTTAAACTTCTCTATTGAGAGGATCTTTGCTTTGGTTGGCTGAGCTATGGTTTAAGTGGTATAGCTTCACAAGGTTTCAAGCATGGGAACTATCATTCTGTGATATTGGTCTGCTCTGCTCTGCTCTTGTTGTCTCATTGTAGGCACCTAGATGCAATTCTTTCTGCCTAGTCTTATGCTAGGAATAGAAAAAATACTAGTAAGTCAGAATGCTGTGGTAGAAATGTATTTTTCTTAGTGACCAGTACTTATTTTGATCACCAATCTTTGTTGGTTACTCTGGGCAACTCATTTTTACCTTCACAAGGTTAGTCATTCTTGGATCTGAATGTAGCTGAAAGGTACGTTCTATGGTCCATTATATATGAGGAAGAACGCCAGACCACCAAAAACAATATATAAACAACATGAGTCAGTAGAAATGAAGATAAGAAATGATGATATACTAAGAGATTGTTTGTCATCTCTAACTTTGACTATTGAACAGGTCCTTAGTTGAGGTAGAAGTGGGGGAGGAAGTGGATAGAGATTTGATTGAGTAAAATATATTAAAGGAGCTGGTAATAAATTTGGATGGTCTGACTATTATTTAGTTGTGCATCTCCTTTCTTCTGTAGCTCATAAACAGGGAAAAGCTAGACATTACCTAAAGAAGATATCAACCTTTTGAAACCCTGGTAAAACTATTGAGGTGCAAAGTGGAACTGATGGCAGGTGTAAGCCATGCCTTTTTGAGATTATGAGGATAGATGTGGAGTGCGTTGTGTTTTGAGGTCTTCTAAGATCAACATTGAGAAGGTTTCTCAACTTCCATTTTGTTTATCTTCTCCAAAATTTATAGGGGCACAATATATAGGGGGCAACTTGCCTGGCCTGGTCCTAATCGTGCAAATTACTAGATAGACAACTTGTCCTGTCCAGACCAGTCGTATTCTCTTGTCCTGTCCAGTCTCGTCTGCGTACCAAAGACTACCTTGGAGAACAGGTGTCCAGAAGAAGCTTCTTTATGTTGTGTGTCTATGGTCACAATCCAAAAAATGAAGCATTGTTACCTTTTATTCGCTTCAATTAAAGTAGAGGCTGAACCATCTTCATTCTGCAAGAATTGGGTAAATACTAAATATAAGGAGCTCAATTTAGAATGTATATGCATATATTTTATACTTCAAGATGCATTGTAGATCTATTAGCACAAGCTACCAAGTCTTTTTTTTGTAAAATATCCTGCTCATTGCTTTTGCAAGAAAATCAATACAGGAACTGAACTTGATTCTTAATTTATCAAAGATTAGTTTGACTAGCAAAAACCTAAAAGGACCATGATATAAGAAAATAAAACATGGGCATGCAGTGCATTCACGAATTTTCATTGAGGCAAAAACTAAGCTTGCCTTCCATGCATCCCCATGTAAATTGCACTAGAAATGTATTAAATAAGGTGCAAAGTGTAGCCAGTGAAGTAGCTCTTACTTTTTAAGTGTGTCTTGCCATTTAGGCGAGCTTTGGTGATTACATTCTTTGTCTTTGCCGAGGCAACACCAAAATTTGTTTACATAAAGAATTTGTATGGTCCTTAAGGAATTTGGTGGTTTTGTTTATGGATGTCATGTGTCATGAATGAAAAAGTTGGAATGAAGGTTCTCAAAACTCAGATCTGGGTCATGGGAGCAGATGTCATTTTCATCACATGATGAAGCATAACATTGAAACCTGGACAGTAAAACTTTCATATGAATCCTGGCGATGATCAAGAATCCGAGAAAATATTGCTCTGAAGGTTCTGACCCTTGACAACACTAATTTATTGTTAACCGTTGGAAATATAGTGCTGTCCTAATTAAAGATGTAATATGGTAGTTCCAGTTATTAATATATCAGAATTTAATTTGGGAAATAGATTTCTGTATCACTCTCCAGTATCTGGACTACAGTGGATATCTTTCATAATATTCAGATTTGCGTCTGGTGGATTCTTACCAGATTCTAATGTAATGTAATTGGGGAACAGGTAATAGCAGGTTCAGACATCCCCCTGAATCTGTTGCTGAGCTAAGTACTAATATCTTGCTGTTCAATTTGAACTACAAATCTAGTGTATCATAAATTCAACTAAGACGTACTGAGGTTTCTTTACTTCCATAAGTGGGAAAGAGGGGTGGGAAAGGAAGCAAATAATCTACACTACATTTAACAGAAAAATTCTATGGTAGATCAAAATAGTATTTTTGGTTTTCAAAAGTATGAGATGATATTTGATATACAAAATGATCCTAAATGATGTTGTAAATGTGGGAAAATGCTTAGAGGTTGGGAGCCACAGATGGTGTAATACAGTTAATTTGCAAAAATGTTTAAAACATATGATGCCAAATGTTATTTTATTTGCCTTTTTTTCTTTTGCTCTGGTGATATGAAACTATATATGTATGTCTTTGGGTGAATGTGTATATGAATTGTTACACCCCATACCACACATTGCATGTAACATATACTCCATTTACAAGAAATACATGTTTATACACCATTCAGGTCCCGTAGTACAAGAATCTACTGTACAGAATACATGGTCCAAAAATTCAAAATACATTTCTTGTACTARTCAACGTTCATCTACCAAAAACTATATACATCATGGACAAATCTTCATACAGATATGTATACAGGAAAATATCACATTTTCCCCTTCCCCTTACCGTCACCTGCAATACATATTTAAAATCACAAAAATGAGGGTTAGACTGGAAGGTCTAGTGAGATCCCTTTTTCTATGTCATTGCAAGGTGAAGATCACCAAAACGTTATTTAAAATCAAATTTTCATATAAAACAAATATATGAACATATATTCCATGATACCAATATCATCAATTTCCAAAGCCAATCATTCGGCTTTATAAAAATATTCAAACCAATAAGTTGGAAACTTCCAAATTCACATAATACCACTTTATACCTTTTTAATCAGAAATAAGGTTTATTCAAAGTTTCAGGTTATAAACCTGCTATCATCTCCTCAATAACATTCAGACTACGATTTCCAATAAGAACCATAATCTTAAATCTTTAAATCACAAAGAAATAAAGACTCAAAATCATAGTAATATTAAAGGATATAATAGTAAGAGTTATATCACATATCACACTCATACAAATGCCACTCTTATATCCAAAGATACACCTCTCCTTGATATGCCACCCTTATCCCATGGTACACCTCTCCTTGATATGCTACCCTTATTTTCTCATCAATTTTTTTATAAAATATTTCCAATTAGAACAGACTGAAGTCATACATGTCCTAATGAAATATTATCAGTTTAAAAATCATCTTTATAAAGATTCTCATTCTTTATCATAAAAAAAAATGTCATAATAATGATTCATTTGATCAAATACCTTTAGTCAAAGTATTAATCCGGTCAACCTTGAAATTTGATCAACATGGACTTGGTCGGACTTTATCTCCGGTCAAGTCTTGGCCGGTGTAACAATCCGGACAACACAAGTCCACTTGTCTGATTTACAAATCCGGACAACATTAAAACAAACCCGATCAAGCTTTGTCCGGTTTACATATACAATATTTTTCTAACACATTTCAAATCCGATCTTCACTCAAATGGATTACACAATTCCGTTCAAAGCCCTGGCCGGTTTATGAATAAACCGGACAACATATTAACCGGTTTATATATAATCCGAACAGCCTTTGATCGTATTCCTACTTCTCCTTTTAAAACATTTATCCGGTTTACAAAGATAGAATCTTATCAAGATACTAATCCGATCATCACTATGATCGATTTCCTCTAAATCGGATAACACTGT